ACAGCTTCCAATGAGTGGAATTTTCAAAAGCATCCAAGTGATTTAGGAGCGTAAGTCCCACTAAAAATCAATGGGACTTGTGCTGCTAAATCAGGTAGGTGCTTTTGAGAATCCCCACACTAACTATAATGGGAACTGTTGGTCTCTGAACACTTTTAAAATTTGACCCAAATTCTGCTCTCGGTAATGCAGGTGTAGCTCCTTTATATGTTAAATCTACATCCGTGTTTCTAGCAAAGCAATGGTGTCCCCATTCTTCCTCCTGCTCAGCTCCTTCTTGAGCCTGTCAACCAAAAGCCTATCACCTGGACACAAAGACTTTTTACAAAGTGATCACTTCATATCTGACCTCTCAGTCCTCGTTCTCAGAGGAAACTTGCACAAGACCTTCAAAAGAAGAGCCTGGCAATTTAAATTCATAAGTCTGGATACCAAATAGGGATGTTAAATTTTGAGTAATTGACTAATTGAATAGTTGATGCATTTTGCATCAACTATTCGATTAGTCGATAGGGCACCTCCACCTTTGAAGTGTAGCAACAGCCCTACTGCTGTTGTACACTTCAAAGGTGAAAGCATCATGTGGAGCCTGGGGTCAACTGCCACTTTGAAATGCCGCAGGGAGCCTGTGGAACTCCAACTGGCCCTGGACTGCCTGCAGCGTTTCAAAGTGGCAGTGCCGCATGGAGCCAAGGGTCTGGGCCCAGGCTCCATAAAGCACTGCCGCTTTGAAGTACCCCTTCTTCTCTTCCCCCCTTGCTGCCTCTTTCTGATAGAGGCAGCAAGGGGCAGGGAGTGATTAGTCACCTAGCCTGTCGACTATCATCGGATTGTGGACTAGTCATTCACATCCTTAATACTAAAAGCCATAGACTTAACAGAAGCGCTGGTTTCATGCCTCATTACAACAACTTAAAACACACCCTGCTGCTTTCTATCCTCCTTTGTCCGATCTCTGCCTTAGTGTTAATTGCCCACTTCATTTAAAAAAAAACAGTAAGGAGTCCTGTGGCACCTTGAAGACTAACAAATTTACTTGGGCATAAGCTTTTATGGGCTGGAAACTACTTCATCAGATACATGAAGTGGAAACTTCAGTTTGGCAGGTATATATACACATTCAAAAATGGGTGTGTTACATTAATATGCGGAGGACCAGTGCTAATGGCCAATTCCCAACAGCTGTTGAAAAGGTCTGAATGCCAAAAAAGGGCAAAAAATTACTTTTGTAGAGAGCTAGATGCTTTCACTCTCTATTCAGACTTAGACTGATAACGTCATGTTTGCCCATGAAAACTTATGGTCAAATAAATTTGTCAGTCTTCAAGGTGCCACAGGACTCCTTGTTTTTGCTGAAATTTGTCACTTCATTTCAAGTTCTCGTCTATAACATATATGAACCTCTTGGCTACGTCTACATTGGCAAGATTTTGCGAAATACTTTTAATGCAAGAGTTTTTGTGTTCAAGTATTTGCGCAAGAGAGCTCTGGTGGCCATTTTAGCCATCGGACTTTCTTGTGCAAGAAATTAACATTGCCTGTCTACACTGGCCTCTTGTGCAAGAACAGTTGCGCAAGAGGGCTTATCCCTGAGTGGGAGCATCAGAGTATTTGCGCAAGAAGCACTGATTTTATACATTAGAACGACAGTGTTCTTGCACAAGTATTCATGGCTAATGTAGACAGGTGGCAATCTTACCAATGTAGACACAGCCATGATGTTTAAGAATCTGTCCCATGTTGTATTTGGATTTGAACTCTGATTTGACCTGAGGAAGAGCCCAATAAAGCTCGAAATCTTATCCTTTCCATCAACAGAAGTTTAGTCCAATAAAAGGCATAAGAACGGCCATACTGGGTCAGATCAATGGTCTATCTAGCCCAGTATCCTGTCTGCTGACAGTGGCCAAGCCCAGATGCCCCAGAGGGAGGGAACACAACAGGTAATCCTCACGTGATCCCTCTCTTGTCATCCATTTCTAGACAAACAGAGGCTAGGGACACCATTCCTATCCATCCTTGCTAATAGCCACTGATAGACCTAATCTCCATGAATCTCACCCACCTTGCAACACAGCTACACCATGGCAAACAACAAAAAGCCGGTGAAAGCCAACATGTAAGGAGCTGCAATCCTTGGCCTAAAGCCCCAAAACTAGTATAAAACCCCTGTGCACTAGAATTGCACCAAGTCAACTTATATACAGGTCTCTCTGCACCCTCTTAGAAGGAAATAATACATGGGCTCACAGTCCCTGCAGTGGTGTGATTACTTTGGAATCTCATGAAAAGTATGTAAATATCAAGACCTGCTACCTAATTAACTATAATATCCAGTTCTTCTGTTTTTGAGGGGCTTGTAGGCAGAATCTGAGTAGAGTACCTTCCCTTTACAGTCGGACCTTTGAATACACTTGACCAGATTTAATAGCAAGATGCCATTTCCCCATGATGACAATGGCAGGATGGAGAAAGAAAGGTTGGGAAAATATTCTGCTGAAATAAAAAGAAGGAAAACTTAATGCCTTATGTTAGGTTTCTTTCTGAACACTGTGTTTCTTATTCACCATTTAACTGTTGAGATAGAAGCAAAACTGAACAATTCTAATTCCTATTCACTGAATCCAAACTAACCAATATAATCAAAACATTCTTTGAGGCCACCATATAAATGTAGAGAAGAGAAAGATACCTCTTGCCTTCATAACTTGGGAAACAAATCAGAACTATTATTAAAAACTAACCCTAAATTTGGGTTTTAGGTATCCTGTTCTTAAGGGTCAACAAAATGTAAAGGCTCATTTTCATAGTAATTGCTGACTGCATGCAGGTTCAGAATCTCAGAATTATACTAAAAGCCAGTGGCAACAAGCATTCATAGCCACAGGAAAAGGGGGAAAAAAGGTTCACCCTTGTGGCAAAGGTCAGATTTCTGCAGGCAGAGAGCCTGTCTATATATATGAATGTTCATGGGACATCTTTGTCCGATATAGTCCCATGAGGATGACACAGGCTCCACAATGTCCCCTCTGCCTAAGGGATAGCCCTAGAGCCACCCAGATCAGTTTGGGGTCATTTGACTTGTTCCAGTTCCTGTTGATTTTACTCTGAACCTGGGGAACAATCATCAGCACCTCTGTGGAGCCCTTGCTGAAGATTTAAATTAAGACTCTCCTGCTAATGGAGGTGATTTAATAAGTAAACAAGATACTGATAAGAGTTGCTATATTAGCCGATATTTTGAGCAATCAACTACAGTTCTTTGCTAAGAAATGGCATACTGAACATATCATCTCTGTTTACAAAGTAGAATGTTTAAGTAAAAGTATCATACAACACTGAAATGACGAAAAGACTGCTACACTAATGAATATATATAATTATTTGTCTATTTATTATATGTATTTTTTAAAGAGTCATACGGTTATGAATTTTATTTGTAACTGATGCATTGCATGCCCAAATATTTGGAATAATGTATGGAAAACATCTGGATTTAATTATATTATAGTCCTCTTATACAGACAATGGGAATTGAATTAAGGAATATTTTGAAACCCCCACAGAGATATAAAAGTATTAACAGCTGCACAAGAACTTTACTGTAACCGTGTTTGAAAATGTTTTGTTTTACAGATCAACAGTCTGACACATCATAAATATCAATCATTCCATTAAAATGTATAGAAATGGGAGAAATATTAAAACCTGCATTTTGAAAAATTCACAGCCTTTTCAAAGGTGCAGACTGTATTCTTTCGTTTTCCAAACAAATGTAAGTAGATAGCAGGTTGGCACAGATAATATATCTTGTACAGTGCTGTTAAGCAAAGAGTTGCATAAGGGTTTATTTTGATGGAACAGCCTGAGTAAGCTTCTTTTATAGGAATGTTATATTACCACCAAAAGCAGACTAAATTATTCAGCCAGAATAAATTAACAGTTTGTTTTTCATTTTTACAAAAAAAAAAAAGCATTAAATTGTTCTTGTGAAAACATTAGGGGATATAACATGAGCTCTAAGTGTCTGTTCTGAAGAAGTACATGTAGATTGGATTTTCTTACTGGATGCTTAAGTTTCAAATGCTGCTTCTCTTCTATGTCAGTAACAGTTCTGCAGTTAGTTTTCAATCTCTCAGTGACTGAAGCAAGGTATTCAAAGGCAGTTAGCACAGCAGGGGGGCAGACTTTCCTCAGAGTGTAACTATATCACTCAACAGCAGACCCATGCAGTAAGGGATCTAATGTTTTCTTTTCTCTTCTCGTTCATGCCCTTAGTGTCTCCCTGCACTTTTGGATGCCAGTCACCACACCAACAACCAGAGGTAAGAGGCACCCAGTTCTTCATCCGCCCCCTCCCCCAAAGCCCTTAAAGCACTCCTTGGTGTGGACAAAGGAAAAATCCAATAGTTCACCTATTGTCAGGAAAAGCAGTTCTGTCACTAAAGCTTGTCTTCTCTGTGAACACTTTCTTCTAAAACATTTCACATTTCTATTTGAAGGATTTTCATGCAGATATATTTAACCTTGGCAACCAGCCAAAGAAAATAGTCTGACACAATAATCATCTACCTGCCCCCAAAAGAAAAAGACCTCAGAAGACCTTAATGTATAATCAGTATATACCATCTGTGATAGAGAGAGAGAGAGAGAGAGAGGGAGAGAGAGAGCTATAAGTGTCAAGTTGAAACCAGAATTAGTATTAGATTTATTAATAATACTGAACAAGTTCCCCAGATATCGGGAAATATTACCAACTACATGTATCAGAACTGGAGTCTGTACTAGCTGCTAGCATTGGGAAATAATGGTTCTTGACACCACAGGGTCAATCTAAATTGGAATATTATACAGTTAGCACCTTTGAACTTTTCCAATGAATCATGCTGAATAGGCTTTGCAGGTTATGATATATACCTTGCTAAGAGACAGCCTGATTAAAAACCCCAAGTGAGGCAGAATTGTGGGGCAGGGGATTAGAATAAACTTCTTTAACTCACCAGTTTTTCGAAGTGGAAAATCATCCTTGGCATCTTGTGCTCCTGGTAAAGTGTATTTGTATGATGGAGAGGCCCCACTCAGGGGTGGAGAGCTTTGATCCAGTGAGGTATGGTGGGCAGCCCTGCAGCAGACACAGAGAGGTCATGAATTAGCAGTAACAAGTGAGGTGAGCAGCAGTAACACTCTACACATGTTGTCCACATGTCTCAGCTGTGTTTATGTTCTTACTCCTCCAAGTGTGCACAAACCACAGGCTCATGTAACCAATTTCACTTTTACAGTAAGTTATGGAACTGCTCAGGATTTCTAAGAATGCCTTTTTTGCACTTATCATAAAAGTCACAAAGGATAAGAGTCATGCTGGCCCAAAGACAGGATCTCCACAAGATTGGGAAACAGAACATTTTAGGTTTTTTTTTAAAAGATGTACCAGCTGAAACAAAGCTATTTGATTCCTTTCTATTAAATACAAATATAAATTAAAAATGACCTTTACTTGCAGTTGTCACTTTTTGTAGGGCAATTACCCAATATTTTGAAGAGGAGGCATTACTCCTCTGGGAAAATATTGATGAATTCACCAGCAGTTGTGAAGGAGACATCAAAACCTTGTCTTTAGTTTGGGCAGCAAGTGAAACTTCAGTACTCTGCAGCATATAAAGTTAATGTCAGCAGTGAAGTTCCACATTGGAGAGCTCTTTCTGACACCAGGGCAATATAAGAAAAACTGTGGGCAGAGACCCTTTTAAATGCTGCTGTGTACCATGTGGCATGCTCCAGGCAGCACTGAGGACTGCCTGGGGGAGCACAATATTGTCTGGGTGAGGCTGAGGGCTGTCTAGCCCCAGCTCTACTCACACCCCCTCCTAGGGGTCTGCTTCTCTTGGAAAGGAGATGGGAGTAGGCTGCTGCATATATTTCTCTATCCAAGCAGACTCGGGAATTATGTTAAAGTCTCTTGGAAACAAGTCACCTATCCTGTTTTCAGATTGTTTTATACTGATGCAGCTGCTTTGATAAGGACAGCAGAAATGACTGGACTGATGTAGTCAAAAAGTGCATTTTTGGATACCTAGGGTCAACAACCTAAAAAAAGAACACTGAAAAAATGTAGGAGATCTTTTACCACTTCTCAATATACTAGAAAAATATTTCTAAAATTCCACAAAACACATTGGACTGGAGAGCAGCATTCCACAGTATCCTTTAACTTCACCTACAATATGATGGTTTTGCATTACAACTGGAGGCTAAAAGAAAGCTGTTTCAGTCTTAATCTGAGTGAATCAAGCATAAAGTCACTCCCAATGGAAAAACAGATCACATTTGCAAGATCTGTTGAGATTTTATATAAATGATACAGCAGCAGAGGTTATAGGAAACTAAAACTTCAGAGAAGTTGAAAAGAAATCTCCACCCCGCCCTTTCTAGAAATGGGATGGCTCACGCTGAGTCTATCAATCTGTTATGCATGTTCTCTATGAGCAGGTGAACCACAAGGCCACAGCAAACTTTCATAACAGGTCTAAAGCCAGGCAAAAATTGGCTTGCACCATTATAAATACTAAACTTGGCCCAAGTTCATAAGCTTTTTAGCCAGCCTGAGTCAGCTTTTGAGTGAACCTGGGAAAATTATAGGTGTGGGTGAAAAACAGATGCATTCACATATTCTGTCTCCAAATGTGATGGTTTTGGCTGAGCTCTGCTTTGAGTTTGATAGGGGATGTGAAACTCAAAAGTGAGATATATGGGACATGACATAAGGAAAAAAAATAGAAACTCTTATGGACTGATATCACTTTGTTTTGAAAAGCTCTGAGTTACATCACTTTGAACAGAGGCTCTCAATACAACTCCATTTGGGAAGAAGTGCTTTTATTTTGTTTATTAATGATCTTGGGTGAATTTTTACCTTGGCCTGGAGACAGGCTCTCAATATTCTCCTGATGCCAACCAGTGTTCCCTGTAAACTGGGCGCTTGTGCAGCTGCTCAGGAGAGAGTCAAATGCTGCTCAGCAAATTAGCAGAGCTCCTAGAGATAGTATTTTTGTTTCTACTGATGGTGCACATTTGCACAGGCCTTGCTGCACATAAAATTTATTCTGCACATGGATGGAAAAGATTAAAGGGAACATTGGTGTCCACCCTTAGCAAGTATATTAATAAAGCATGAAAACAGCTTAATAGGGAACATACGTGTACCAGAGCTTGGGGTGACGGCTTGTGGAATGATTCTTCCCATTAGTTGGAGAGTCTTTTGTTGCAGATTTACTCAACAGGAACTCTTGAAGTTTCTGCTTCACTTCTGTGCTTGCTACTGCCCCTAAAACACAAAAAGATTGAGAGCTCTTCCTACTCTCTACAGCATTGGAGGGAAAAACAAAAAAGATCCAACTGTTTGCTGTGAAAAATAATGAAAAATAGAAAGAGCCTTGGTTGAAATCATTGTCAAAATGAAAAAGAGCCTAAATAAGTGTTCACTTTGAAGGAAACATTTATTTCTGGGCCTAATCCAAAGGCCCACTAACGTTAATGGGAGCATTTAAGTTGATTGTAATAGGCTCTGAATCAGGCCCTTTCTCTTGTGAATACTTTCCAGGTGCAGAACCAACTCTTAAGTATCCCCAAATTATTATGAAAAAGAAATGCTGACAGAAATAAAGTATTACTGGGGGTCTCTGAGACAAATAATGTCTTTACTGACCTAAAGCAATGCTAATAGCACCTCAAACCTGTCCTCTGACTTCTACACTGACTCGAAACTCCCTACCTAAGTCTTTATTTTCAAGGGACTTTACTCATCTGGGTCTGTGATCCCAAAAGATTGCCTAAGCTCCCAGATAAGGACTGTGGTTAACAACTTTGCTCCTGACATAATGGAACATTCCACAGCAAGAGAGAAACTCACTTGTGCAGGAGACAGAGTTTTCTTGGAGGTCAGCTGGGAGAGCAGAACAAACTGCCACAGGATATATGTTAACTCCTTTAAAGCTCACACCCACCTTCCATTTCAAATGCAAAGCACACTTTTTTCAACCTTGTCTTTACTAATATAAACATAATATGTCATATAGTTATTAAAAAAATCCCCATGCAAAGTTTCCCATGGGGTGAGAAAAAGGAAAGAATTATCCATTGCTCAATTCAGTACTGGAAGCCACTCGGAAATCACCGTGATGGGTGCAAAATAAGAACTAGAACAGAACAGAGAAACAGGAGTTTTGAAAACACAATTTCAGAGTTAAATTTACCTTCAAACACTTGTGTGCAGTTCCCATTAACATGATGGGAGTTCCACTGAGTCTTTAGTTTTTAAAACCTAAAATGTACCACTGCTCAAGTGGTACTATTTTCCTTATAAATAAAAAGGCTGAGGAATGTGAATCACGTGGGCATGATATACTGATCTCTTTTGGTTTGCTCTTTATTAACTAATACTTTGTGCTCCTTCAGCTGCACAAGTACTAATGCTTCCCTGTGGCAATTATTACACTTTGAATCACTTCACATTTTTGATACCCTGAAACAACCTGGTTTTAAACTGACCATACTGAGGGGAATTATTTGTATCTGTCTCCCTCTAGTGAGCATCACATTCCAGCAACGTCCTTTCTATCTTTAATTTGCCTTGAAGCCATACTGGAGCTGGAAATGGAACTCTTGGACAGGAAGCTGCCTCAGCAACACTGACATGCCTGTCTGAAAAGAAAGAGTGATGTAACTAAAGCAGATATGCTCACTTGAGAGACTCTTAAATGCTATATATTAACCTTTTTGTCTTGAAACAATGTTCAAATGAATTTCTTTGCCAGCCAGCATCCTGCTGTCAGATAGTGCAGTCTGTATTAGGTAATAATGAAAATTCTCTGAGAGAGGACACCTCAAATGAAGTTTTATGCTTTCAAACTAGAGTATTTTATTTTTGCACAGGCAAAGTAGCTATCTGAGAGGAACACACACACACAGCCATGGGGCAACCCCACACTTTGGTACAAACTAGCAGTGTGGGCGAGTGGGTGTAATCTGCTTTTTTGCAGGCACACCTCTTACTCTTGTGTCTGATTATTTTAGTGTTGAATAGGGCCACACTTATTAGCCTTGATCCTGGCTATTACCCATTGTAGAGGACGGGGAAGGATATATCATCTTTTTATCCTGAGTCCTGGTACAGTGACTCTTACTTTCTCGGCCTCTTTCTTTGCCTCTGAGAGGAGGAAGTTGCTGTTCCCTGCGATGTCTCTCTAGTTCTTGCTCCTGCCTCTGCTGCTCCAGTTTCTGCTCCTTTTCAAGGAGTTCTTGCTGTTGTTTGATGGCGAGGAGTTCCTGTTGTAACTTGCAAAGAACAAAAGACATGAGCAAATGCAGTCTGCAGTGCTGTCCAGGTCACTGTTGGCCAAAAAGCTCAGTTCAAGCTTGTATAAGAGCTTTCATCTGTGATCATATTATTCCATAACCCACTTTTCTATTCTTTCAAGTGGAATATTTTATCATCTGCCATTAAAACAGCTTTAATATCACAAAGTAGCTGAAGGCATTGGTTTTGCTTCGTTCTCTTTTGCCAGATGTGGGTATAACCTGCACATTATTCTCACTCTCTGCCAATGCAGCATCAAACTTTACTTGCTATTCTCAACTGGATTTGTCAGTTAATCACACCATAGACAGGCTCACCACATTAGCAGAGGGGAAGTCTGAGATATTTCAGAAAGGAAAAAAAAACACCAAGACTATAAACTCTCAGTCAAAATCTCTACTTCCATGTTTCTTCTGTGACAGGTTTAATCCCATCAATCAATTTCTTTCATATTCTGTGAGGCAGCCTGAAGAAGGGCAAAGTGCTAAATTTGCAGCACCTGTCCCCATTTTTGCAAACATCAGTCGCAGGTTGGCTGTCTATCTGATTTGAGGGCACAAACTCAAGCAGCTGCAAACAAAGCAGTCATAATTAGTTGGCAAATCAAAATGTCATCTACAAAAAAAGGCAGCCATAAAGAGGCCTAACTGAAAATTAAGTGAAAAATGGGGACTTTGAGGAAATATCCGAATGAGACAGAATATGCTAATTCAAAGAGCCTTGGTTTGCCGCCTGCATAGTACAACACTGCAATAGCCTCCACCAATTATGCTTGAAAATCTTCTTTTAATAGCTAAATGTTATCACCATCTAGCCCAACATGGTTTCCATCACTTCTCTATACCACGCACATGGGCAACAATAACCATTCACACTCCCTCTCTAAATCACAACGAAATGTCCAGAAGCACACCCTTTCTAGTAGTCAGCTGAGAATATTCAGCTGACGGTGGAGGAGTCTCAGGAGAAATGGAAGATTTTGCCACCTTTATGTGCTCCTGCAGCTGGGCCTGGTGCTGTCGAGTCAAGTTTTCATGCTGTTTCTGAAACTCTGCAATCAGAAGTTGTTTCTGAATTTGCTGTTGCTGCTGGATCAGGAGTAGCTCCTGCTGGAGCTGCTTTTCACGCATAATTGGATCCACCATGGGAACCATCATCCTGAGATCTGTTCGCAAGTCCAGTGGTGTGATGGGCTCCAACCCCACAGGAACCTCTGACTTTACATCCACTATAAAAGAACAACAAAAGAAAAATACATAAATGAATGGAGATAAAAATGAATTGATTCTCCCAATTGGGAGGAAAATAACTTATTTACCTTACTCTCTCCCCCCCCCACCACCAATCCCTCCAATTTATAGAGTTAGTGAAATACTTGCCATAGTAAGCCATATGCAAAATCTTGTGGTTCCCACCAGCCATCTAACACATCCACACGCCATCCTATTACTTTCCTCCCATTTTAAAAGAAATGTCACCCTGAGGAAGAATGAGAACCCCACCTCCTACAAAACATTGTGCAACCTGTCAGAACTTGCCCAATTTACCAACTCAGCATTATATAGGCCTTGTCTATGCTGGCACATGTTGTTGCCAAAAACTGCCTTTTAGTGGCTAGGGTTGCCAGGTGTCCGGTTTTGAACCAGACAGTCCGGTATTTGAGCTTTCTGTCAGGGAAACAAATTGAGAAAATATAAATGAGAAAGTATGAATGTCTGGTATTTTTTAACTAAGATGTAATGTAGATGGTGATGTAATGTCAAGTGTGTCCGGTATTTTTGTTGAAACCATCTGGCAACCCTATGCAACAAAACAGTGAGAGCTTTTACACTACAGTGTAACTTTAGTCAGGAAAAACACACAAAAAACTTTCACCCCTGCAGGTTACTTCTGCCTTTCCCACCCCCTTTATTGTCAATGAACAGCCAATGTGGACTTTGTTGTTTGTTTTGTGAAGAGAATTAGCTTCTGCCAGTATCCCACAATGCCTGCTCTGCTGTCTCTGCTCAGTGTTTTGTGATCTCTGCTGCCCTACAGACATGTGCCCTTCCTATTTCTAAGCTCTGGCAAATACCTGACAGCTGAGTGAGCTGCTCAGTTTGGTGAACAAAACACAAATCACTGGATTGCTTCTGTTCTTCCCTGAACTAGAAACACAGCAGCAGACAGACTGCTGCTGTAGGGGGAGGGCTGGAGAGACTACAGTACTGCATTGACATTCCTTAGCACGGAGAGCTCCCAGAGCTACAAGGGAATCCCAAGAAGCACAGGGATCATCTCTGTCTTCCCACAACACTGCATGTGGAATGCTTACCCACATTCCTTTGCTCTATCTGTCCACAGAGTTCTTGCAATGTGGCCATGAAATGTTCACAATGGGAGGCAGAAAAACTGGTTTGTCCAGTTTTCACCTTTGCTGACTTTTGCATGTCAACAGCACTTTTATCACCAAACCTTCCCAGTGTAGATATAGCCTTAGTTTAATTGGTGTGACATTACTGGGTATACAATTTGTATCAACTACATGATTAGTCAATAAGGGGAGGCTCTGAAGAGCCATAGTGGGGGTAGCTCCTGGACCTGGCACAAGCCGGGACTGTGCAGTTCTGGCTTGTGCTGGCTCCAGGACGGCTGTAGCGCTGCAATTTGAATGTAGTAAGAGTCCAGCAGCTCTTACTACATTTAAAATGCAGAGCTGCAGCAGTTCCAAAGCTGGCGTGAGCCAGGACTGAGCAGTCCCAGCTTGCACCAGCTCCGGGACCGCTGCGTCCCTGACACCCTTGCCTCCCCTCCTGTGTGCACCACTTTTCAGCCAGCTCCTCCCAGCACTGACTCCTCCCTTACTTACATCCCTAGTCACACATTTAGGCTGTGTCTAAACTGGCACAATCTCGCGCAAAAGCAGCCGCTCTTGCACAAAAACTTGCTGCCTGTCTACACTGGCCGTGTGTTCTTGCCCAAGTAAACTGACGTTCTAATGTATAAAATCAGGGCTTCTTGCGCAAGAACTCTGATGCTCCCGCTCAGGAATAAGCCCTCTTGTGAAAGAGCTCTTTCAGAAGAGGCCAGTGTAGACAGGCAACATGAATTTCTTGCACAAGAAAGCCCTATGGTTAAAATGGCCATCAGAGCTTTCTTGCACAAGAGAGCATCTACACTGGCATGGATACTCTTGCGCAAAAGCACATGCCAGTGTAGACGCTCTCTTCCGCAAGAGTTTTTGCATGAGAACGCACCAGTCTAGACATAGCCTTAGTATACTTGAGACACTTATTCTCAAAAGAGAAAGCTTACATTCAAACAGACTGACTATGATTTTACACTTACAGGTTGTACCTCCCTTGTCTCACTTGTCCTGAACAAGGGGAGGTCTCTCCTATTATGGCTCATGCTGCCCCTGGTTAGGGCTCCAGCTGAGCCCCACTACTGCTTGCCCGGCTCTGGCTCCCCAGGCTGGAGCTCCATGGCTGCCAGGGCTCCGCAGCTTCTGGGGCTCCGTACCTGCCCTGGCTGCTAAGACTCTGCAGCCATCTCTTCACTGGGCCCCCTCCGTCAACACGGGGCTCCTGGCTGAGCTCCCTCCACTTCTGCCCTGCAACCTGACCTCCTTACACCTGGACTCTGTGTTCAAGGAACATATGTGGTTTTGCCAGACTACGGATGTTGCTGGACCAGAAAGTCCCGGTTAAGAGAGGTACAACCTGTATACAAATATTATAACATAATATATAATAATAATATATTATATAGTATGCAACGAGAGTCATAAATGTAGGAAGTACAGAAGAAGCCATACTTGATTATATGGGACAAGAATGGGAAAAATACATATTTAAAGTTTTGTGGTCATTTTTTAAATAGTGAACACATGCTTACAGTAAATAGAATCTGGCACATACAGGCAGTCCCCGGGTTACGTACAAGATAGGGACTGTAGGTTTGTTCTTAAGTTAAATTGTATGTAAGTCGGAACTGGTACATATTGTAGGGGAAACTCTAGCCAAACATTTCTCCAGAGCTCAGTTTTATTCTCCCACACCTCACTTCCCTCAGTCCTTTATTCTCAAGCTGAGGTGTCTGCTGAGAAAAACCGCTCCGCGTCTCCCTGGTTTGCTGTGGGGGGCGCTAGCTTCGCGTCTCCCTGGTCTGCTGGGGGGAAGCAGCTTGTGCGGGGTTGCCTCACTCCGTTTGTAAGTAGGGATCTGATGTAAGTCGGATCCCTGTAACCCAGGGACTGCCTGTACTATGCATTACTGATTATGGAATGAAAAGATCTGAAAAGATCTTGCAAAAAAAATGAAGTACCCCTTGATCTTTCCCAGAATTAAATCCAAGGATATGTACAATCTTAATGATTTTCACTATGCTATGCTGCAGGATCATTTGGGTTTTCATACCACCTGTGAGGGTAGAATTATCTGCTTCAAAAAGACAGAAGAACCTACCACTTGTGCTAAAAGAGAATCTCCATTAGTAACTAACAGCATAGTGGCTGAGCATTTCTGTTTCTATCCACTAAAGGGGAATTATATAAAAACACACTAATTAGTTCACTACAACTATTTTCACAGAAAAAAATTGAGCGAATATAAATATGTTGCAAAATGATGAGCTGCACATACTTTTATACATATTTTCTCTCAAGTTTTATTGTTCCCTTAGTTCAAAACAAAGAAGAGAGGGAGAGAATACCATAGAAACATTCCAGCAAACAGTAGTACTATGCTGGCTGTGAAAGCTAAAACTCACAGCCAACATATTCAGCAGAATTCTGAGCATATGCTAAAATCTGCTGAGAATACTTCAGCATCTCACACATGCTAAATATTTTTTTCATAATAGGAAGACATGAAACCCCAAATCTCTCCCTTTCATTCTATTCTGTTTCTGTCAGTAAACTGGTAACATCAAACATTTTGTTTTATTCCTTGAACAGTGATTGTAAACCTCAAAGTATAATTTGACTTCTTAACCTGCTATCCCAACAGATTGATTATGCCTAACCGCTTGCTTTTGTTCTGAGACTAATCACTAAATTGTAAAAAATCACCCTTAAGTTACAAAAACTACTCTTGATTATAAATAATTGCCTTAGACCAAGAGAAAGCAGCAGTCAAGAACCCAGCCTTTCATCCAAATTATTCAGCAGCAATCCACATTCCATTTGTCTAGACTAAATATAGCAGCGTTTATACAAGAAATCAATAGTGCTTCCAGAGATCAGAGCAGAGACATGAATATTTCATCAAACTCAGAAAGAAATGGCAATCAGCAAACTGACAGTTCTGTGTAGGTTGACTGGCCCTCCAGATAAGTCCCTGTTACTTGGACAATGCCTTGTCGCCTGCAAGCTACAATCTTATCATAGGCACTGTTCTATTTTTAACATTAATTGTGTTGTAGGTGACAAAGGCTTATGATGTTTAAAGTGGAGAGATGGATTTTCTTACATCTTCTGTGACAGGATAATAAGCCTCACCAGGAGCAATAATAGTAAGTAGAGCTGTGGAAACCCTGCGGGGTTCAGTTTGCAATAGTGTTTGCAAACTGAACCCTGCAGTTTGGCTTGCAGGCACTGGCTACAAACCAACCCCTTCATGTTTGCCTTGTGATTGAAATCCGATTATAACTCCTACCTCCCAGGAGCACCCCACCTCTCTATCCCCAGGAAACCCCTATCTGGTTAGGGGGAGAAAGGGAATAGATTTTCTAACAGTGGAAATGTCCTCCTCTTTATTGGCAAAAAGTAGCAAACCTGAAACCCACAGTCAGTTTGAGGGGATTCATGATTTTGCTGCAAGGAATTCACATAACTTTAATATTAACTGCACACTTGGTAGCTCCATTTCAGCATGTTCAATTTAATCGCACTCACTAGTGGGGACAAAATCAATGAGCGGGGTATTCAGAAATAGGTACTCTGTAAATCAATCATTAATCAATTAATCATTGTAAAAAAGTGAGTATTTTCCTAAAAGTGAGTATTTTCATAAAAAGTATTGACAGGAAACATTACAGGTTGGTAGTATTGACTTGTGGGGGAATCTTGTTTCTTATCTGTATTGTTCACAGACATACTTGCTGACCTGTATTTTAAAATACATTTTGAAACTGGTGTGATTATATTGTTTTATTTTTCCAAATAAAATATACAGAATTTTAAAATATTGTGTACAGAATATTTAATTATTTTGGTGCAGAATTCCACCAAGAGTCATAGTGTTGTGA